TGGAGTCTTTTTAGCAATATTAGCTTGAAACATTAATTCATTTATTACCAAATATCTTCATTGCTATCCCAACCGGGAATAAAGATGCAAGACAAAGATATGAATTGAATATGGGCCACTTTATTGATAGCATCAAAATACGATAATGGCAATCCTTTGCCAAAAGAGGAGGCCTGCTGTAGTGTGGAAACAGGCGAAAGGCAGGGGTATGCTGACACTCCTTAATCAATAAATGGGCGAGTCCCTGGCCCCAAGTTCCCACGGTCTCCAGACAGCAGGAACCCGGCCAGCTGCTAATAAAACACCCTCAGACCTCAAGCCATCTTTTGCCGATAACTGTTGGTCCACAAGTGGCCCAGCGCATCCTCCCGCCACAGACACTTTTAATTGCATGATCCACAGTGCTGGGAAGTGGGATGCACTGTTGGCTTAACAGAGATTACAATTGAGACTCACCGAAAATAGCTGTTATTTCCGCACTGTCCCCCACAGCATAGGGACTAGCCATGCTATGTCCCATGCCCGCCACAGAGCCGCTCGAGCTTGACAAGCAGGCCCCCTGTGATGTCTTCTGAAAATATGTCCAAAACTGCATTTGACAGGTGGAGACATTGCTCCCGAACATTTCAGGTTTCGCAACATGGATCCTGTGGTGACATACCACCAATCTGAGGCTGCAGCTGCAGACGCCTCCACATATTTCACTGTTCAGAACAGTCCTCACATGGCCTTGCCAGGCTAACTGAAGAATAATTGTGGACCACATGGATCCGAGGCCATGGCCACCGACACCTCTGCACACTTTTCGTTAACACTTGCACGAGCCTTGTTAACAGCAACAGTCCTCACACAGCCTCGCCAGGCTAACTGAGGAATAACTGTGGACCACATGGATCTGAGGCAGTGGCCCTCTATCCCTGTTCCTAAATAAAAATAAAAAAAAAAGAATTCCAAAAAAACCCACAAAACCAGCAACAGTCCTCACACAGCCTCGCCAGACTAACTGAGGAATAACTGTGGAACACATGGATCCGAGGCAGTGCCCGCTGACGCCTCTGCACACTTTTTGTTAATGCCCACAGCTGACGCCTCTGCACACTTTTTGTTAATGTCACACAAGCCTTGTTAACAGCAACAGTTCTCACAGAGCCTCACCAGGCTGAGGAATAATTGTTGACCACATGGGCCTGAGGCCATGGCCGCTGACGCCTCTGCACATTTTTGTTAACGCTCGCATGAGCCTTGTTAACAGCCACAGTCCTCACAGAGCCTCACCAGGCTGAGGAATAATTGTTGACCACATGGGTCTAAGGCCATGGCCACCGCCACCTCTGCACACTTTTTGTGTACCCTAAACAAAACAATCCTATGTTTTAAAAAAGAACACTTATTTAAACAAGCTTGATCCCACCATAAATCAACTGAATTAAACAACGAACAGCCAAGAAATAAGCCAAGCAAAAAGCTCCAAACCCAGAGAGGGAGCCGAATGCTTCCCTCCCGTCCCTCAGGAAGAGCTGACATGCGAAAAAATGAGCCAGGCAGCTCAATCTGGAAGAGCTGACACAGGGAAAAGAGGAGCCAGGCAGCTCGATCTTCTCCTTCTGATAGCCCGAGAAAGGAAGAGGGCAGTGCAAGGGGGAAAGCCACTTAAATACCCAGGGCTTTCCTGCCTCTCACACAACGGCTCATCTTAAATGCAGTCTCTCTCTATCGTGGGTGGATAGCAAGGGTCGATTGCGCCAGCCAAAAGTGATGCCTTGCCAGCGATCGCAACATATTGATCAGTTTAGATTTATGCCAGGCTCTTGGATAGCTCCTGCTGTCGTGAGAGTCTTTATTGTAGAGGACCATAGTGATATAGCAAAACAAATTACTCTCTTGGTGCTTTAAAAGCATTTGAGCACATAGAATGGTCGAATGCTTTACTTCAATTATTACGATATTTTACTATGGGATAAAAACAGTGGTCCTTATGAATGACATGACTTTGAACTCTTTCATCTTGAGAGATGACCGGGATCTGTTCTTCACTTCCACTGTGTATTCATAATGGATTTGGTTTAGATTATACCTGACTAGCCCAGTGGTTTTTCCTACTCTCTTCAGTTTAAGCTTGAGTTTTGCAATGGATCTGGTGATTTCCATGTGTAGAGTCGCCTCTTGTGTTGTTGGAAAAGGGTGTTTGTGATGACCAGCTTGTTCTCTTGACAAAACTCTATTAGCCTTTGCCCTGCTTCATTTTGAACTCCAAGGCCAAACTTCCCTGTTGTTCCTTTTATCTCTTGACTCCCTACCTTAGCATTCCAGTCCCCCAGAATGAGAAGAACATTCTTCTTTGGTGTCAGTTCTAGAAGGTGTTGTAAATCTTTATAAAATTGTTCAATTTCAGTCTCCTCAGCAATGAAGGTTACTTTAGCATTCCAATCCTCTATAATGAGAAGAACATCTTTCTTTGGTGTTTATATTTATATTTATTTATATTTAGTTCCTAAATATAATAGGAACTAATATCATGGAGAAAGTGTAATTATGACATTTTCCTTTTCTTCTCTAACCCAATTAGCTGTAAAGAATGTTCTTTATGTGTTTCAAGCTTTTACTAGAATCTGACAAATCAATTTAATATGTTTAAACACCTCCACAGATAGTAAAACAACAACAAAAAAGATTTACATTTTAAGTGATATACATTTCTGCAAGAAAAAAAGAAATACCTCATAACTGCTGGATAACTTAGTGGTTTAAGTCTCTGGCGGTAGAGCCAGAAGTTGGGAATTCAATTCTCCACTGTGCCTTCTTGACAGGGGTTGGACTTGATGATCCGTAAGATCACTTCCACCTCTGTAATTCTAAGATTATATTATATTGTACAGTGGTGCCCCGCTTTATGATTGCCCCGCATTACGACGAATCTGCTTTACAATGATCTTTTTGCAATCGCAAAACGATGGTCTAAATGGGGGAATTTTGCTTTGCGATGATCAATTCCCTGCTTCGGGAACTGATTCTTCGCAAAACGATGATTTTTCAACAGCTGATAGGTGGTTTCAAAATGGCTGCCGGGTAAATAAAATGGCTCCCCGCTGTGTTTAGGGATGGATTCCTCGCTATACAGGCAGTGAAAATGGCCACCGTATGGAGGATCTTCGTTGGTCGGTGAGTTTTAAGCCTATTTGAACTCATTGAAAGGTTTTCAATGCATTTCAGTGGGCTTTTTATTTTCGCTTTACAATGTTTTCGCTTAACGGTGATTTTCCTGGAACGGATTATCGCTGTTAAGCGAGGCACCACTGTATTGTATTTCATTAATTTTAACTAAATTTGAGGAACTCTGTGTATCAGCAGACATTACTGTCAAGATGTGACATTTTGTGTGCATAGAGTGTTAAAATAATTTAGAGGGTGTAATAAAAAATAGCCCTAAAATCTGCATTGTGCTTTAAAAATGAGGTTTGGACAGCAGTTTTCTGGGAGTTAATGCAAAACAATACGCCCTTCAGTGAAGCAAGGTCATTGTATCATTACATTCCTGTCAGTTCAATGTGTTTTACAAATAAAAGCAAAGTATAAACAAAAGAGAAAATTGAAAGCATATTGAAATAGGTAGAACATCTGCTGCAGTGTTTTAATATGAGATGGTATTTGCAAGTCCTATAACTTTTATCCTCTGTAGCTATAATACTCTGCTTTTACAGGACCTTGATGCATCAGATTCTTTATTTTAAAAGCCTTTTCTCTCAAGCCTTTGCAAATTTTATTCACAACAGTGATGACCATAGTCATAGTGGCAGTCTGCCAGATTTTGAGTTACAAGCCCTTGGAGTTACAGGAGGTGTAACAATAGAGATATCTATTATAAAATTTCAGTTGGTGCACCAGGCCCTGGAGCTCCAGGTTCTGTAGAAAGGATTGTTGATATTAGATGAAGGAGAAACAAAGGTATACATAATGGCTAAAAAAGATAGCTAGGGCAAAGAAGAAAGAGAGCACTTCTAGAGGGAGAAAACTCTTCTGGGAGGTAATTTTTTTATTCTAAGCTGATGTGACTTTACAATTGCTTATGCTCTAGTCTTTTAATTACATAGTCGGTAAAGATATGTGCATAGATGTGACTTAATTGAGAGTTAATTTTTTATAACTAAGATAGTACGCCTTTGTAATACTTTTTTATTTTTAAGTATTTGTAACACTTTAATTATAGTTTTATTATTCCATTTTATGCACCATATTAATTTTTATTAGAGCATTTTAAAGTTTTGTTAGAGTAGTTACTTATATTTTCCATTTAGTTCATTAAGTTTTCATTGTTACATTCATAAAAGATTGTATTAAGTTTTTATAGTTAACTTTTTTTGGGTATTCAATAGATATAACCAATATAGCACATTTATATCTTCTTGCATGTGCCTGTTCAATAAAAAGAAAAGAGCCGGGATTTTCTTGGATATTCAGTTTACCTGTCTTGCATGGGGCAAATAAGTTAAAGGATAATCAGAAGGAGGGAGTAAATTGTACAGGGTGCAAAATATTCCTCTGGTTCATACTGGACTTAACCGTTTTGGGATAAATATCAATTCTGATGAGCACAGGTGCCTATAATGTTCTGTAGGTCTCTAAGGTTCTAAGACTCCCTGACTTGACATTTACTACTAAGCCAGGTCTCACTTATGCAGGAATTCTTGAAGTATCATATTCTGAAACATCAGGCTCCAGACAGACATGGGAAACTAACTTTACTAAGATCTCAAAAGGTGAATGGGATAAAATCTGAAAATTGCCTTAAAATTATGTGGAGAAACATATATAAGCAGTGCCTAATTACAACCCATCTGTGGCAGTGATATCTACCAATTTTCCTTAAATGCTGGAGAGGGCTATCTCCCCTATAGTGTCTGAATGCCCTCAATCCTTCAGATTTTGGACCAGTTTTCTAGAAACAATTACAGGACGATGTTTACAAAAAGAGAGTGATCATTTGCTTTTATCAATATTTACAGGAATGAGGATCTCTGCTCTTCGTAAAGATTTGATTTTGGCATTGCTGGCAACAGCCAGATTAGAATTTATTCAGCTCTGGAAAAATCTGAATAACCTTAACATTTCTAATTGCCACAGTACATGATTCTGCCAATGGATCCTTTGATGAAACAGACTCACAAACTGGGTATGCTCAAAGGCTTGGAGTCCTCAAATACATTTATCAAGACTTTGTTACCTTTTTTCAGTATGTAAATAAGAATACACAGTTTCAATGACGAATTTCTGTGTTTTGAAATTTTGGAGGGATGTTTTTTAATTCTTTTTTACAGCAGTTGAGATTGATAACTACATTGGATGTTATAATGTATGGTATTACCTGTGTTGTTAGAATCAAATTAATGCATTATTGATTGACTTGTATTAAGAGTAATTAAAAATAAGTCACAGCTCAGTGCATTTTGTGGCCTGAGAATCCACTCACCACTTTGCTATTACTTTCAAGATTATGGGGATTATGTATCTCTAATATGATGGGCAATGGAGGCCAACCAAACATTTTGACTTACAACTCCTATCAGCCTCATTCAGCTTGTAAAAGTTGTAGCCCACAATATCTGGAGGGTCAACGTTTCCCTCTCACTAGAACACTATCTTCAGAAAGAAGAAGTTATAGTTTTGAGTATTCAGCTTCTATCTCATTTCTTCCTTGTTAACCCACTCCTTAAAAGCTTTTCTTTGATTACTACATCATAATGTGCCCCTTGCCCTCCAATATCTACTACCATTCAACTACATCATAATGTGCCCCTCGCCCCCCAATATCTACTACCATTCAAGAACTCTATTTTACATGGAACATTGTTCATTTATTCTTGCACTTGAAAACAATTCTGTAAATCTTCCTCAGCTGCATAAAACCTGTGGTGGTGAACGCAGGGAACAGAGAATTTGCTGATCTTCCTGTTTACAGACACAAGAGCTGTACTTTCAAGACAGAAAATCAAAAGCAGTGCATGTCAGTATGGAAACAATATGTATTTACAGCACTGGCAATCTGTGTGCTTGTCTTTTCCAGGGCAGGCTCAAATCCTTGTAAAAGTTTATAAGTGATTTAGATTAAAAGCAGTCTCAAGTCCTCCTAATCATAATAATTACTATACCCAAGCGTCCAACTTAATTTGCATTTCCAGTCCACAAGTGCATGAGTTATGGTCAATAACCCTCCCAGCTGAGAGTTTTATTGCTGTTTGCTAAATAAGAAGAAAAATGAACAGCAAGGCTGTAAATCATAGCATAGCAATTGCTCTAACTTGTAGTAGATCATAAGTGCAAAGCCAAGTCCAATATACATTATTCCTTCACCCAACACCGTCTCTGGGAAAAAAAACATTCAAATTGTTTCTGCACTACTCATATATGGTTTGGGCCTTGGAAGTTGGGCCTTAATGAAATAATAATAATGATCTTACACCTGCAGAGTTAGAAGGAACCCTGTGGATCATTCAGTCCAGCACCTGTCAGGGAGTCAAAGTGGGGAATCAAATTCCCAAGCTCTGGCTCTGCAGCCAGATGTCTGAATCACTGAGCTATCCAGCAGGTTGTGGTCAGCCATTATGGAATGATCATGATTCAGATGTTTATCGTGGCAGGCATGTTCACATGCCAGTTTTATGATCCAAGGCAAGCTCCTGAGGACTGTAGGAACAACTGATTTTTCCAAACAGGCAGTTCTGCTCTCAGAGATTTGACCCATGAATCACTCAGTCTCATCATGTTCAGCTCCTTTGAGAAATGCAAGCAGGTGAAAAATGTCCTTGCTTGAACACTGGCTTTCAAAGCAGTGGTGAATAGCCAACATCTGATTAAGAAAACAGAAAAAGGCTGGAATCATCTATTGATGAATGAGCTGATGTTTTCCTAAAGAACATAAGACAGTAGAGTTAATTCAAGGAACATATTTCAGAGACCAGATGAGCCATTCTTATCTTAACAACATATTTTATATTTAGGAGAAAAATATAGTATACAGTATTGGTTTCTGTCAGTAGTTGAATGATTTCCTACTAGGTTTAGTTCACTTCATGCTGTCCTTTGCTATGTAACATTCTAAACATATATAATTTCTGATTTTAGCTTTGCAACAAAACACAAACTAAAAAAAATAAAAAACATGTCACGAAGTATTGGTTTTCATTGTTACTATTTTTAGCATATTTCATATTCATCTTTTACTGCTCATATTTTTAGCCAGGTTCAGATTCTAACTTGCCATATGTTTTGGTCTCTTTTTTTACAACAAAATTTAAATCTTAAACAAACACACAAACTATGAACAATGAAGGATGCCAAATGACCTGTGTCCATGTTGCAGGAGTGTGCAAGCTGTCCCCTACATCTTAATATGTGACAACATTACAAGTGCATGTATGCAGATCTCTTCCATAATGACAGATCATGGCTTTTAGAAAAGGTTTTCCATTATTGTTTTTGTACAGTTTATGCATTTTGGATCACTTAAAGAATGATTAGTGGAGCCACTGCTATGATGATAGACATTCCTGTCTGCACACCCATTATTATTGTTGTCATTTTGTTTGTTTTATAGGTTCTAATTTTTCCTAATAAGGGAACCTTAGGCAGCTGTGCTGGTAATGGGACCATAGAAGGCCTACTCTGATGATTTTATACTCATGGGATTTCTGACAGATTACTAAAAAGTGCTTCAGCTATCACATAGTACCTTCTCTTCAAAGGGATGGATGAACACTGAATTTCAACCAACTCTCTCCAGTGGTAGAAACAATCAGCCCTAAAAGACAATGGTTATGTGGTCAACAGGTTATCAAGGTGAAAGAAAATATAAAATTATTCCTTCAAAACAGGATGGAGCATATCTAGCTGGGCAGCGTGGGTGCAAAAGCAACAGATGCCTACCCAAGCACTCTGGCCACTTTTTCTGACAACGAGAATCAATTGCTGAACAACATCTTCGCTCTGCCTTTGATCTTGATATCATTCTCTTGTTTAAAAGACATTGCTATGTTGAAATATGTCAAAGAACGGTACTGTTGACCTAATGCAAGTTGCTTTGTTACTCATCATTTAGATAAAGGCACTCTATAAATGCCACTTTCAGATGTCCTCACTATATAGTTTGACATGAGGTGCCCAAATTTAATGTCCTGAAACTCAACAGTCAAAAAATCATGGGGATTCTGTGGCCCACCCAAACAACAGCCCTCTCTGCTACTTGATCCTCAGAGTTTCCCAGTCCTCCAGAGTAGGTTTCTAGCATTGTTTGGGCATATCAGAGGCTGCAGGAGAAGCCCCATCTCACCTCCACTAACACTTGCAGAAATAATTCTGCAATTTCCATGTCTTAATGGAAACAGTCTCCAGGTTTATATATATTGTCTCCAACTAATTCCTTCCTTACTGTTTCCACAAAATATTTTAGGCTTCCTGTCAGCTTGTGATTCATTTTTCTTTTTTCATATGACAATTTTTGTAATGTGAATGTTGGAAAATTTACAAATAAACAGTGACTTCAAACAACAAGCTTATCATGTTACATTTAAATATATTCCATTGCATATCTCCAGTTGTAAGTGTTGATGAATTAATGTTTCATTTTTGCAGAGCTATTTTTCTAGCTCATTACAAAAAGGGATGTTTGAGCACTTTCATAAGAAATGATGATTGCTAGGCTAAGAAGGAAATTATTCTTTTTGTTCTTTTATGGAAGCAAAAAAGATACAAACTGAGATGATGGTACCAGCGTCATTTTAATTCTGAACTAGCAATCCTTAGGATAATTATAGAAAGTAATAGCTTCAGCTTAAACAAATACATTTTTTATTTGACTGCAAATAAAGTTTTTGGAATTGTATAAAAAGGTAACAAAATGGTTATCATATTATTAGGAAACACAGAAACAAGCTCCAGTTTGTATTATGTGAGCACTGATTTCTTTATCGTTTTATTATGGACAAAAGTCAATAAAAGACTAAATAAAAAATACCAAATTAGCTGACAAATCTAGAACCCCTGTGATAACTTTATTCATAAAGCTTTAAGATGCCTGTGATGAACAATAATGATGTCATCCATTCATTGTGCATCCCAGGAGAACAGCCAGCCTGTATGGCCTTGGGCAAACTGCACCATCCGAGGTGCCCGAAAAAGAAGGGAATGGTAAACCACTTTTGAGTAATCTCTACCTGGAAAACCTTGAAAAAGGTCAATATAAGAGAATTAACTTGACAGCTCATCATCATCATCGTCATTTTTAGAAACATTTCTATTCTACTTCTCATATGCAGAAGTACTGAAGTGTTACACAATACCACCATAAAAAAATAAAATAAAAAGGAGTCAAAATCAATTACACCGCCAAAAAGTCTAATAGATGTGGAGGGATAGTTTTAATGCAAGACTAAAAGCTTGCTAGACCCATTGGCATGAATCTATGAAATGAAAGCCAGCCAGTAGCTTTATGGGAAAGCAGATGAGGCCTGAAACAATTTCTGGCAGCTGGTAATAATAAAAATAAGAATAATACAGAGGAGGAGATGATGGTGGTGCCCAAAGTCATATGTTCACTTATCTCAATTAGGCTAGCTTGCAACCCTATACAACACTCTGCACTTAATAGGATTTTTTAATTGATTTGTTTTGGTTTCCTGATAATTACACATAAAGTTCAAAGGTATCAGTATGCACATTAGTGGAAACTAAATAAAGAAGTTCATTTTAGGTGAATTTCTGTGTATTCGGGGTTCACTCTAAAATACGAAGGGATACATCGTTAGAAAAGGAATCAGAAATAAGCCTGCCAGTTTCATTATGTATTTATACCTATGTTGTCACCACAGATTTATCAACATTGTATAGGTTTCTGGTCACCTTATATGAAAAAGCAGAGGTGCACCAACCACAATTCAATTCAGAACTTGTTTCAGAACTTTGGAAATTGGTGAGATTCAAACTAATTTGGAACCTATATGATTTGGTTCAAACCAGTGTCAAGACCAAAAAAATTCCAAGATTTCTCTCTTTCACTCTCTGTGCATCGCATAGTTAATTACACTAAAGTAGACAATTGAATCAGTGGGGATTTTGTGAGTCAACCTCTCTTTAAGTTTCATTGATTCAAATGGGCTTACTCTAACTGGAACTTACTTTGAAGTCACAAAGTAGGCCCATTTGAATCAACAGATCTTATGGAGGATTTCACTGATGATTCAATGGATCCACTTTAGTTCAATTTATTATGCTAAGCGACAGAATTTTGGCCATTGTCTATCATTGGAAGTGAGAGAAGTGTTACAACCAGCTATATGACATTTACAAACATACCAAGTTTAGGATCTTGGTACTTCTTGGTACATCTATTCCAGAAAAGAGCTACTTGTCCCACATGCTCATCATAGTTCATGATGTTAAAAATGGTGACAGCTTCAAATCCAAAAGAGGAACCCTGCTTTCTCGCTTATAGCCTCTTCATTCTAGAACAAGCTTCCAGTAGAGGTTTATCATGCACCACCCCCCTGTTTTCAGGAAATTAGTAAAAACTGAATTGTTTAAAATGGCATTATTAATGCTTTTAACCACAGACCTGAGATGTCCACATTCGTTTAGACTGTTTAATTGTATTCAAATTTAGATTTATTTATTTAGCTAGTGACAGTATTTCATTTATTTTATGGGAATTCTTGTATATTGTATTTCATACTGTTGATTTTAATGATTTGTCATATTGTGAACTGTCTAGAGAGTGGTTACAAGTTTAAAAACATGCTTGCATACATACTTGCTATTCTCTTAAGAGGAAATTTTGCCTCCAAGCAAAATATCTTGGGTCATTTGTGCTATGTTGTTGCTGTTGTTTAGTTGTTAAGTAGTGTCCGACTCTTCGTGACCCCATGGACCAGAGGACGCCAGGCCTTCCTGTCTTCCACTGCCTCCTGGAGTTTGGTCAAATTCATGTTGGTATTCATTTGTGCTATACACTTTATATTTTGATATCTTTAAAAAGTAAAACTGCAGTAGCATGCTTATTTCATGCTATTAAAAGAACACTTCAGGAATAGTTACCTCTTCTGGGAGAACCAAGTTTCAGATGAATAAATGCTGAAATCTTTGTGCAACTGTAGCTTTTATATTTGAAGGAATAAAAAAAAGGACTTGCTTATAGCCCAGATTCTTTGTGGATCATTCTTCTGAAAATAACAAACAGCAGGTGGTCTGTCCTGGAGACTGTTTCAAAATAACACGGCTTGTATCCAATATGTGTCACAGCACCTGCAGATTTATTTCTACAAGCAGAAGCAGGAGGGGCAATTTCCTCTTTCTATTGCAGCCCTCAAATACTTGAATAATGTTATAAATCTAACCTGGAAGACTGGAAAATTCTTAAGAGTAGGTAATAACAAGGTCTATGGGTGGGGCAGGATTATAGAATTCCATCACTTCCATGAGTTATGCATTTCAAAATGTTTACATTAAGCCCATCACTTCAACCTTCATTGATGCTCCAGTATCTTAGCATTAGACATGGCACTAAGTAACCAGAAAAACTCTGGAAGAATCACTGCAATACTTTTTCTGGAAAGGGAGTCTTCATGTTTTTGTTTTGTTTCCCTCAACCCATATTTTTGTGAAATGCATATAAATGTCACTTTTGCACTTTCAGCAGAGTCTCATTCTGTTGTCCAAGAATGAGATAAGTGTTAATTTGTGTATGTAACTGGGAGTGGAGACAATAATAGACACAAGGGCAGAACAACAGCAAGGGCTAACTTTGCCTCCATGGACACTCTCTCTCTCTCTTGCTGAATAAGATTCATGCACCTGGATCAAAAAAGGTCAGCATCCACTCATGCTGGCAGGGTACCAGTATTCATAGAGACGCTAGGCCAGCAGACAGATCAGACATGCAGTGCTGGTTGTCGTGCCTGGTTGGCAGAGAAAACAAGCAGATGGTGGAGAAGGCAAGCCTTCAGTGAGAGGCAGAAAGACAGGAAAGAAGAGAGGTATTAACATGCCAGGTAGGCATTGTTTTGCTGCCATTGAACGGTGTCGCCATGTTATGCAGCAGAAGGTATGCTCTACATTCCTGTTAGACTACTGGCGGATGGAGAACATGGGTAGAGAATATCTGGTTCTTGCCAGCGATGTACAGGCTGGCAGACTAAAGAGGTAGGTTGTGGTGGTGGAATGAAGAAGGAGCTGATGGTGTATGAACAAGAAGGGAGGAAAGGAAGAGGCTGCTTGCCATAATTCTTTATCCTCATGGATAACCCTGGCCTGGCACTGAGTGCCTCAGTTCCTTTCTTGCCACCACTACTGCAGCAGTGCCTTGGTTAGGAGCTTTCTGTTTCTCTTTCAAAAAACAGAACAAAACACCTTACCCTTTTCTTGGACTTCCCGGATTTCTGACTTGGACTATTAGACACTTCTTCTTCCTGTGAGTTTTTTTTTTTTTTAAAAAACAGGCTGTTATTTACTTATGTGAAAGAGCTGTGACTTTGTTTATGGCTGCTCCAGGCCTTTTGAGGTGTGAGTCCTGCTCCAACAAAATAGCCCTCTCAGATGGGCATTCCCGCTGTTTGTTTTGCTTAGGGGAAGAACACCAGCTGGTTCTCTGTGCGCCTTGTAAGAACTTTACGAAGCTGGCCCTTAAGTTGAGAGTTTAGTCTCCCCATTCCTTTTTGTGGGAGAAGTCCTTGTCTCCGTCTCAAGGGCCCCCCATGAAACCTGCCCAAGCTTCAGAGCGTTCTCCAATCTTAGGCTCCTCATCTCCTTCTAAGGCCCTGAAAGAACCTAAGATGGCATTGAAGTCCCATACTTCCTCCTCGGACTTGAGGTTGACAGCTACGGTATTGACACCAAAGTCTCCCTGGGTATCAATGCCAAATAAAAAGAAGCTGGCAGCTGCACAGAAGCCTGAGCACATGGCAGAAAAGATCACGCCGTTGCCACTGGTCACTGATACATCCTGGTGGGAATCAGAATGCCTTAGCATACCTTTGGGAGATGAGGATGCACTGCCCCTGATGCCAGAGGCTGCGCCATTCCTGCAGTTTAGTCAGTCACCTGACTGGGGACATACCTCATTTGTACAGTTGGCACAGGCTAGCCCTTGGTCTCATCCAGGCTCGTTTTCTGGCATGCTTCGATATTGCCTCCGGAGACAGTCCTGTTGGTGACCCCTAGGAAGAGAACACAAAAGACTCGACATTTGGAGCCACCTGTCAAGCCTGACACTTCCCAATCAGAGCCTATGCCTACGCCTCCTGATGATGGCTATCAATATCATGAGACTAAGAGGTTGTGGTACTATGAATGCCCTCATCTCTTCAAGCTTGAGTCATATCCTTGCCTCTATTCTAGACCTCATAGGCTTGAGCCCTACTGTAGACATCAGTCGACATCTGGATTCTACAGGCCGTATTCTCCTTCGCCTTCACCCTCGCCACCACGTTATCGGTTCTACAACGACCACTACCCTGAGGAGGAGTTATACCCTAGGGCACCATCGCAATCTTACCAAAAGAGGCCCTTGCTGGCTACTTACCTGAGATGAAAAGGCAGTACTATCTGCTATCAATGCCACAAGGAGCTTCTTGCTCAGACTTGGTCCCAGGACACCAGCTGTCTCCAGATCAACTGGCTCCTAGGTATGAGGGGGAAGGGAGGAGAGTTGGTCATGTTGAGGCTGGAGGCTATCATCCGGCATTATTGTGTGGTGATCTCTCATCCCCCTAGACCTTGATACCAACTTAGAGGCCTCTGAGATTGATAGGCAGAAGGAGTCGCCACCAAAAGTTCCCATCCTGGATTCAGATATGGCAGAAAATCATCTTCCCTCTCTATGCAAGGACTATACCTCGTATTCTCAGCTGATATTGCAAAGGTGATGGACTTGGCAGTCGATCAGCCTGTATTGGAAGAGACAGACAAAGTATATAAGGACATTACGCAAATTCAAA